ATCTACTTAGTGCCTTTTTGTACCTATGTTCGTGTGTTTAAATAAATAAATAAAAATGAAACGGAATCAAACGAGAAATAGTAATCTAGAAATAAGCATGGAATATATCTATCACCCTTTTTTAAATTGAGCACTGTAAGTCAGTCAGTTAATCAGTAATAGATACTATGAATAGTGAACACGTCTACACATATTTGACTGCTATCTATACACTCACTATCGAATGAATAACGAGCATATTTTAGTGTTTAGCATCGAACAAAATAAAAAGTAGTGAAATGCAGAGTTGAAATTCAAATCAGTCAATCAGCTACAACGTAGGACCAGGCACATATGTGCATCGGTCAAAGTTGTCACACCACAGTACCACAACAAAATGAACACCGGATTCATAGAAGTAGTTTCTTCAATGCTAGTAATGTGTAAAAGAAAGACTGCATATAAGGATATCGTAAAGGTAGAAAGAATTAGTTGGTAGAAAGAAAGAAATGAAGTGATTTTAATCTCATAGTTTAAAGGAAGACAGAGAGTGTATACACCTACACCATTGTGATCGATTCTGAGTCATGTGATCTACAGTCTCCAACCATTGATTACGATAGTCATGTAGACACCAACCAAGTAGTCTGCATCTACCAACATGGTTAACACTAGAAGTTAGTGACTTCAATGACACTTCAGTGCTACGTTTTGGTTTGGCCACCCCTAAATTTCTTCCAACCATCCCCAACACTAGTCAACATTCCGTGTCGTGATAATCGGTGTTCAGACATACGTAACACGTGGCCCAACCATCTCAGTCGATGAATATTAACAATCTCATCAACTGATTTAACATCGTTCCCTAATACTTTTAGTGGACACGTTTCACAGCCGTAAAGTAAAACAGAACGAACTGCCGTGCAGTATAGTCATCCGTTAATTGATAGACGAATATCTCACCTTTACCATAGATGACGTGAGTTGGCAAAAGTTAAACTGAAGCTTAAAGGGAGATATATTGTTTAGAATAACAATGAAAGCATTAGAATCCACAACAGAATCAAACTATTTTTAGCTCAAAGAATACTATAATCACAAATACCCCCAAATGCCCCGGTATGGCCGAGAGTGGGGTGGGTTCGCCCTCCCTCTCGAAATGCTCTCACACGGCCACGCGTATACAGCCTCTGCCAGGGAAGTCCTACTCATTGCCTTCTCGTGGCGGGGGTGTTGTTTACGAAAATGAGAGGACGAAAAGCGAATGTCCGGCGCTTTAACCGGATCACAAACCAATGGTGCACATGGGCTCCAGTACCCTGCGGGAACACATGGCGTATGAACCAATCGCTGGTCACCGGCTACCATGGGTATGCATCTCCTCACGATGTTCCACTGCCTTGTGGATCAGACCATTAAGTCAAAGGCTCGGGGAGTGGCCCCCTAAGAAAACCACCTGCTTCGGTCTGGCCACCCGGGCAGTTTCACAGCCCCCACACACACAAATATGGTGTGGCGCATATATATTTGGTGCCCTCTTGTACCGATATTTATGTGTTGAAATAATAATAATAATAATCACAAATGAAATAAGTATCTATGTGATTATCATAAATGAGATACTTTAAACAGATAAAACAACTATAGAGATCAATAGAGATTAAAGTTTTAAAGTGAATCAAACTAATAGTAATGATTTCATTCAAATATTCCATAATGATGTAATAGATGAACTCGGAACAAACCAAAATATTAAATAAAATTAGAAGAAAAATATTAAAAAAAAAGATTTTATCTTATTTCAATTATAAAAATGTTGCTATGTAAATAGATGACAACTATTTGCATTCCATGAAATCATTGATACATACCTTGAGTATGACATTGAACAAAACTCATTGCTTAACACATATTCAAATTAAGATAACAATATTAAAATCCGACAGTGATGTAATAACTTTGACCTTTAAATCTTATAGTGATTACATTAGTAACTATTTCAATTCATACTTCCTGTTTTACAATTACTAGATCAATAGGTTTTGAGATGAGATGATGAGTGATATTATTAGAGATTAATCACATTGACACAGATGCACTCACTATTATTGTATCGACCGTTAGCGAAACAATCTCAGAGAAAGATGGACATATTATTCATTCTCAATCCAGGAGATTGGATCGATGGGCAGAACACTTTAGGGATCAGTTCAACTGGCCTTCAGCCACGCTTCGATTTCCCACGATCTCTAGTCAACCTGAATGGCAAGTTAGTGTAGGTCCTCCGTCCCTTTACGAAGTTGAAAAAGCCATAGGAAATCTGAAGGGAGGGAGAGCAGCAGGCCCTGACAGGTTTACTCCTGAGACTTTTAAGGATGGTGGTCCAGTATTAACAGTGAGATTAACCGAGGTCTTAGGTAGAATTTGGGAACTGGACGTAATCCCATCTGACTGGTCTCAATCACTGATTGTGCCAGTCTATAAGAAAGGACAAAAGTCCTCTTGTGACAATCACAGAGGAATCAGTTTGACTAATATAGTGTCTAAAATATTGGCCTCAATAACACTTCGACGCCTAACTAAAGCTCGTGAAGAGCAGACTAGAGAAAACCAGGCTGGTTTTCGACCTGGACGTGGTTGTATAGACCAGATATTCACACTACGTCAGGTTCTAAAACACAGACACACATTCAGACGCCCCACAATCGTAGTATTCCTCGACCTTAAGGCGGCATTTGACTCCGTTGATTGTGAGGTTCTGTGGCAGTGTTTGTCACTGAAAGGAGTACCAAAGAAGTACATTAACCTTATAAAGGCTCTCTACTCGAACACAACTGGTACAGTGAGAGCTTATGGCGAACTGTCATCAGAATTGATTACCTCAAGTGGTGTTCGTCAGGTCTGTCCACTCTCCCCATTCTTGTTCAACTTTGTCATTGACGTACTTTTAGAGATAACACTCTCCTCATCTAAATTTCCAGAGGTTGAACTTCTACCGGGAGGTTCACTTGTTGACTTAGAATATGCAGATGACATAGTTTTATTTGGTGAAGACGCTGACAAAATGCAGAGTCTTCTGACCACTCTAAGCAACAATGCAAACATGTTCGGGATGCGATTCTCTCCCTCGAAATGCAAAATGTTGCTTCAGGATTGGGTTACATCCCCACCCGAACTAGTGATAGGGAGTGAAGTAGATGAGTGTGTCGACCGCTTCACTTATCTTGGAAGTCTCATCAGCCCTTCTGGTCTGGTGTGTGACGAAATCTCAGCACGCATACAGAAGGCTCGACTAGCTTTTGCCAACTTGAGTCATTTATGGCGTAGGCGAGATATCCGTCTATCAACCAAAGGATGTGTTTACTGCGCAGCAGTTCGTTCCGTCCTACTTTATGGCAGTGAAACATGGCCGGTAAGAGTAGAGGATATCCGTAGGTTACTAGTATTCGATCATAGGTGTCTTCGAAACATTGCTCGTATATCATGGGACCATCGAGTAAGTAACACAGTTGTTAGGAAACGAGTACTAGGTAAGGATGGCAAATCAATTGATGAAGTAGTGAAACTTCATCAGCTGAGATGGCTGGGACACGTGTTACGTATGCCCAACGACCGACTACCTCGACGTGCTATGTTCAGTGGTATAGAAGTAGGTTGGAAGAAAGCTAGAGGCGGCCAAACCAAAACATGGCACAAGTCCATGAAGTCACTGACAAGTGAACTGAGTCATGTTGGTAGGTGTAGACTACCTGGTTGGGGACCACGAGATGATAGCAACCGATGGTTAGAGACCTTGAATGGCATGGCTGAAAATCGTTTGCGATGGCGCAGGTGCATCCACTCTTTGTGTTCTCCCAAATTCTAATCTTCTGAATTCTTCATATCCCTTTTTTCCTCTTTCCAAATATATTTCACTGGATTATACTCTTTAAATAACATCTCCAAACCCTAATCTTTCCGATTACTGCTTATACTCTTACTACCTCTACCACTACGGGATTTGAATCGACAACTGTATCTCTGTGCTAAGGTGGTGTGGCAACTCGAACTGATGTACGTACGTACGAAGTTCTACGTTGTTACTGACTGACTGACTGACTAGTATTATATCCCGATCGCTGTTGCTACCTTGACATGGTGGTCGGGATTGTCTATCGTGATGAAGCAATCGAGCTATATTGGTGAAACAATCGTTCCTCGTGGTCCTACTACACCAGACAAGTCAGTTGAAGAATGGTAAGACTAAAAATATCAAACGCAAGGTCTGAAGACAAAGTTGTACAGCTGACTGTACAGAGGTGTGACGGTTACGCTCTCAAGTCACTAAGACCAGCCCTAATCCAATTTCCTTTTCAGATACTTCTAGAAGAACCTTTCCATAGTGTAGGCAACCGGGAAGTGATAACCGCCCTCATACCTCTATCAGCACTCAAGACCAATGTATTCATAAACTACCTTTCAAGACTGACTATTAGTGTATATCACTTTTGCCTTCTTCAATTTACTTACTTTATATCACACCATATTCTTCTCTACGTTTGATATATTTCGCAATCACAAACACTGATATTAGTACTCTCTCTTCCTCTCTCTGTAAGTACAGCTTATGTAACTACCTTCACAGGAATTGATATGCAAACGTTGAGGAGGATATTATAGGCATCATTGTATAAGCATAACAATATGAAACGTGACGGTTTTAAATGTTCTTTCAACAGATCTTTTAAGTTAATATGATAAGATATGGCCCATTATGCCTCTTTTAAAATCGATTCATAGATAAAAGTTTATTTTCTTACTGACCATGTCAGTTTGTACTCTAATTGTCAGTTTAGAGAAATACTTTTGAGAAAATTAGTTAGATAACCGTTGTTTCATAGAATATTGTCTAATTTATTTATTTCTTCATCCATATTATCCTGAGAAAATAGAATAATCTGGTAACTTATTGATACCGAAAAATAGAAAATGCATTCAAATGTACAGTATTCAACAACATCATTTAATGAATTAAAGCTTACTTTGTGAGAAATTAGCCATTGGAAAGTCGAATGAATTTTCTGATGAGAAGAAGGAAGAAGAAGAGGGACGTGATGATGATGATGAATGTTTCTTTTGTCGATGATTAATCCATTCACCCCATAAATCTACATCATTACCAAGTTTGTGACACAAGTCAAAACGTGAACGACTTTGTGGTGTAATTTCCATAGTATTTGCAGGCACAACATCATGATTACCTAATACAGGTAGAATGTAAACTTCATCCACTGGAAATGATTGTTTCAACGCTTTACTTATTAACCGGATGCCATCCAAAAGTTGATCGGATGTCAAACTGTCATCGTGTGGCCCATTATCACTAGATGGTGGTCAGTAAACAAATGATAAAATGAAGAAAACATGAAAATAACCACAAATTTTGGTTAGTTTCAAAGTGTTACAAGAAAACCTTTTTTTAATTGAGTTAGAATCAAATTTTGAATCCCTGGAAACAAAAGAATACGATTAATGGATGACATATAAACCTTATTTAAGAATACATGAGGGAAAATGTATCAGGTACTCTAGGGTTTTCACAGACAGATTTGATTGTTTTACGATGACTTTACAATAACCAGACTCAACATAAATGTACATAACAATCTAAAGTGTTAGAATTCATAAAAGCAAAAGTGATATGATCAAGATTAATGATACAAGGAATAATAGAAAGTTGAGACGGAAATAATCCAAAATTAATTGAGATCTTTTTATAATTCTATTGCTTCGTAGTATACCTTGAACACTGCTTCACTTGATTTATCCGAAATCATAACAACAATTAGAAGTGAATAGTAAAAGATATAATAGTTAGCGCCAACATTCACAATTCAAGAAATAAACTACCATTTTGTTTGAGACACATGATATTGTTACAGATCAAATAGAAAATACATGGATTTCGTATTCTGGCGAGACTATAATTTATAGACGACCCTTGAATGAACCTTAAATGACCTTGAGGAATATTAGCCAATCAGAAGACAGTTCGTATGAAGTAAAAATATATTATAAAAAACCAAAGAATTAAAGTGGATATAGTTCTTTTACATGGTTCAAAAGCCCCCAAATACCCTGGTACGGCTGAGAGTTGGGAGAGTCCGCTCACCCTCTCGAAATGCTCTCACGTGGCCACGTGCATTCAGCCACTTCCAGGGAAGTCCTACTCATTGCCTTCTCGTGGCGGGGGTGTTTTTTACGAAATTGACAGGACGGAAAGCGAATGTACGGCGCTTTAACCGGGTTGGTGGACACGGTGAGTCCAACTAGGGGAGTTGGAAAACCCTGATTCCAAACCAATGGTGTACATGGGCTCCAGTATCCCGTGGGAACAAATGGCGTATGAACCAATCGTTGGTCACCGGCTACCATGGGAATCAATCGCCTTACGATGCTCCACTGCCTAGTAGACCTTTTAAATCGAAGGCTCTGGGTGTGGCCCCCTAAGAAAACCACCTGTTTCGGTTTGGGCACCCGGACAGTATCACAGCCTTCATAACAATCAAATGATTTGTGTGGCGCATATGTATTTGGTGCCTCCTTATTACCAATATCTGTGTGTTCAATTAATAATAATAATAATAATAATAACATGGCTCAAAAACTTATAAAGGTTTGAAAGAGGTTCAGTGGTTCTGAAATCGTAGTGCATACGGTAGAGGAACTCATTCAAATGGCTCTATAATAATCGACCTCTCGGGGCATGATAGCGCCTCGATCACATAGCTTCAATATTCTTAGTGTGCACTCCTGTTGTAGGGTCCACAAAATGGCGCTTGTTGACAACGACATGATGCACATATCCAAGTCTAGCCAGGCATCGGTAGGCTTTCCAATCATCCGCATAGATATTGGAACGCGGCTGCACGTATTCCCGTATAATTAGTATTATTGTCGTTGCTTATCGGTTTCTGACCTTTTGGAAGTGGCCGTTTTGGGCTGATCTGTCGTAAATCCCAAGTACCTGCGAGGTATATTTATGGAAGTGCTACTTATCCAGTTTTCCTTAATACTACGTCCTCTGTTAAATTTCAACTTCTTAGTAGTCCCATCTGTTGTAGCCGCTCAATTATCACGTCTTCTCTAAAATCTGCTGTAAACCGATCGTACATGAGCATCAGGTACCGAAATTGGCGCCGTAACCCTGGAATCCCCCAAACGCTTCTGATTGGCTTTTCCATAAATTATAGCCTCGCCGTAAACACGATCTTCGATAAGTAAGATTCACTAACACGTTCATTGGTTCTTAATTGGAACAATATATTACACTATACTTGAAGACTGCTATCAATTAGTATTCGGTTTCTGATACCATGAACTGAATCTGTCTGTTTATTTAGTTGACCCTAGGCATCATACACTGATCTACATATATAGTAATAGGTATAAAGTGGTTGTAACGACCGAAATACCAATATTCCGTTTGAACACAGAACTAAAGAAATAAAATTTATTCAATTAGACCAAGCTACGTTCTTCTGTATAGCATACAAAGCGTTTTGAGTGACTCGTATTAAATTACACTAAAACACAAACTCCACGTTCAATCTAAACGGTTCCAATTTAGTAAAGACAATAAATTATAACAAGTATACAAAACACCTCATACAGTACAGCCTGTGCTATACAGTCAAGGGTTTCTCTAACACAAAGTAACATGGCAAACAACAAAAGGAATACTTAGTAAACAAAGGTTCGATACCTGTGAATCAAAAAAATATTTCTAACAAGATGAGATCAGATATCTATCTGCAAAGATTCGAGCAAACTTTCCAAGCAGACAGAAGATAACAGTCATACACTGAAGCACACCTTGACCTTGATTTTAGCCAAACGTGACCTTATTATCAACAGTCCGGCAACGCGCAACAGTATATTACATAATAAAAGATATATCTTTAACCAGGATCAAATAACAAAGGACTAGACAAGGAAGAGTGAAGAACATAAAGTGTGGTTAACAAGGGAACTGAATGAAGATGAAGATGCACGACAAGGAGAAGAAACAAATAAATGACAGTACTGTTCAATAAAATGCTCTGGAGAGATTTTCAAAGCATTCATTCCATTACAGGGATAGTTAACATTAGCCGGTTTACTATTCTCTAACTAGTAACCTACATCTAACATAACTCACCGTTATCATCGGTGCTTTAGAAACATCTTTTCTATAATATTGATAACCTACGCCTATCTTCGATCCACAAAAAGGTCACTACATTAAGCCACAATTCTCATAATTACAAAGCTACTATGTGGCATTTTTCCTACTCAAGTCATATTTGTATTGAAAACGAAAATTTAAATCATTTTCATTAATAAATCCGCTTTCTTCTGTCAAATAACCAGCAGATAAAAAAGAGAACAATCCCTAACCATATCAAAAAGACGAGATTTGTAGGTTGAGTTTAATAAGACTAACATATTAATCGAAATCGGAGTGAATACATTCTGGAAACATGTGAATATATATAGTTGATGACATAAACAGTAAACCCGATAGTGATAGAATATAATCCACACACTATACAATATTTTCTAGACATCAAATTTGCATAATGCATTATATTAATATGTGTATAAGTAATAGTTGAATGTACAGGAACGGAGTTTTAAGTATCGGATACGCAAATACACACAAACCATAATCCAGTTTGATTACACAGCTTCACTCCTGATTTCCATCATGGTGACCAGTTTCTGACGATTTCCTAAGGCAACGGATAAATAATTTGGAGCAACAAAATAACAAATGTGACACTTCTTACAAAAAGAATTAGCTGATGATTCAGAGAATCTTTACCAACCGAAGCAGATGCGTAGGAGTACGTTGGAGGAAGCATAAGGACAGTTAAACTAGTAATTCGCGTCAATTAACGACGTTTTTGACATTTTGACCAACCCACGTTGGTAAAGACGCATTACATGGTTGAAGAAGCGATATTCGGTAAACAAGTCTGACCAGTTGGTCGGGATTAGTGAAAATGATTCAGTCAGTCGACATAGTCCATGCGCACGTTTCTTTCCCCTTGTAGATCCCGAACTCGACATGGTTTCACAGCTATTATTCTTCAATTTTATCCCTCCTTTAAAGATCGAACTTCCTAGGTTGTCTTTCACACTAATCATCGACAGTACTATAATCATTCCGAAGTTTGCTACTTGTCTTGTTAATATTGTCTGTAATGTATTAAAATAGTGTAACTGTGAATGATGTACATTTGTGCCATGCACTACATTGAATCTAACTAACAACTATTTGTAAGAAAATATCCTCTGTTTATATATCACCTACTGAACGATTCAGTTTGATAGATAAATTTTCAGTACTATTATTATTGTTAAATATATATTTCCGTACAAATAATAAAACCAAAAAAATCTATACTTCCTACTAACCATGGTATTTCTAGTCGTTATCATTCAATACATTTTGACTCTATGCATCTATGAATCGCATTTTAATCAGTTTGTTTCTAGTCATGGGTTTCATCTAGTATACTGATCAGAGAAAAAGTATAGCGAATTGACTCGATGTTGGTTCCGTTTAGCATAGTGCATTTATCGGTATCAGTTGTCTGGAACAATTCGCTTTCAGAAACATATCAGTTAATTGAATGACACTTTATGTATTAATATTAGTCATAATTTTCATGTGAGAGCGACTCTACCTGACGACCTGATCCGAAGTAGATGAGGTGATGTTCAAACCTGTGACCCGAATTCCAATATTCTAACCAATATCAGCTCTTGATGGCTTAGGAAATTTTCTAAATATTACTAACTGAATATCTTTACGCTTAATAAACAAACTACCATTTTGCCATAAATTTTTTATAACAGCAGTTTTTTTTCATTTACAAGATTTTGTTTACCAATGGCCTACCGATATTTTATCGTTTGCGTACTATGGAATCCCATAAAGCTTGTACCGTTGGAGATTCTTTAATAACAATAATATCAGAGGTTATTTATCTTGGTGTAACGTTTTCTTCTAATCTCTATTGGTCTCTTAATGTTTTATTGTTATCGAAGAAAGTTTTTCGTCTGACTTACCACATGAAGAAGCTGTATGATTTTGGCAATAATCGACACTTACTTTTACAATTTGCTAATTCTTGTATATTACCTAATATTCTATACTTTTCTTCATTATTCTTTACCGGGCTTTTGATAAAAAACTTTGCTTTATTGCAGTAAGTGCTGAAAGCAGTTAGCAAGGGGTGTGATCAATCTGTCGAGGTCATTATCAGTATGGTTATGAATAGATATTTAAAATCTTCCATACTCTTAGTAATCGTTATCTTATTAGATATTAATCATCTACTTTATTTATACCTCTCATTGTATATCTTCTGGTAAAACGATGCGCTAATATATTAGAATGTATGCACTCGAGGGAAGATAATGAAAGCTCAACAATAACTTATTTAGCAAATATTCTATGTAATGAACAGGTTGTTAGAGTTGACCTAGTTAATAACTTCTATTCTTAAACATGCTTCTTATGTAAAGTTGTACAGATTCTAATTGTATTGAAAAAAGAAACATTTCACTTAATTTCAGGTAATTTACTTAATTTATGTATATATGTATATAGTTATTGTATTTTTGTTTTGTTTTGTTAAAGAAACTTGTTGAAATACTTTATGCTGAGAATTCTATATTCTACCAAATATATATTGAATAAGGCCATTAATAATAATGTGTTTTGAGCATACAACACCTGTAATTAATTGAGATCTGTATCTGATAAAGTGAAATTGGAAAAATAAGCTTTTAGAGAGCCGTATACAAAATAATGATAGTACAATTTCTTACATGAACTTCAGTCAGCGATACTCAACACAAACAATAATTCTCATAAGAACATATGACAATATCACAAACAAATAATAATCAGAATTGCATAACCAATACGGGAAAAAAGTTCAATGACTATGAATGTATACATATAAATTGACTTACCCGCTCCAAATAACAAAATCCGGTGTTTTAGCAAATAACATTCTAGTTGCATTGATTGCATTTAAAGCAAGTTTGAGTGGAGAATCACAAGAATAATTACCATATGGAAGATTACATGATTTATTTATATATTTTAAATCACAGTGGATATCACTTAAATGCCAAAAGTAACCTAAAATCAGTAAGGAAGATACAAATTTAAGCTTTTCTCTATCATTTTTATAAAGAAAAACAGTACCTAATTAGAACAACACAGATATTGAATAGTTAAAGATGGAAATATATGACCAATGGAAAAAGTGACGATTAAACATTAATCCATTGTGGCGTATCATCCAATAGTTAATCGACTGAAAGTGAATATTTGGCGCTGTTAGCTAAAACATCCATGTTTTAACTAGTAGTGAGTCACTAGCTTGAATCGTTGTTCAGTCAACATCAACATAGGAGCTGACACTACTGAGTAATTTCAAGTTGCCACACATGTTAGCATAGTGAGAAATCAGCGAGATGGAAAAAAACAGATTGGAAACAATACCGAATGCAGTTTGAGTTCGAATTCCACAACGAGCATCAGATCCCTCAAGATCCCAGGTGCCTCATGCCAACAGATGCCAACATTTAAAGAACCTAGGTTCGAAGTCGCCAGTCAAATACCTGCAACCGCATCACATTAAAACAGTCTACGATATGTTAAGTCACTTAGATTAATGGCCATACTGCAGCTTAACTAACGGGATTTGATCAGTACAAAAAACAAGACAAATAATACCGATTATTACTCAATAATCGGTTAATATAAGCATCTTAATCCTAAAGGCCTTCTTGACTCAAATAATTCAGTGGTAATATCTCAGTCTGTGGAGCTTGGTCGCGCAAGTTCAAACTCCATGTGAAGCACCAGTTCCCTTCAGATTGTATGAAAGCAAGGTCCAGAGCCCCTGGAAATTAATCTTAGCTACTTAACATCAAACCCAAACATCAGAAATCCCGTATTTGAGGGAGCAAATGAGACCGAATAATAAGAAGCTAAAAGGAATACAAACCAAGATTTGGATAAAAGTAGAAAATAAATATTAATGAGCAACACAAACCATATCTTAACAGTACCAACTTAACAGTTACACTATATCCGAGTAGTGCTTTGGAAACATTTATGGTCGAATACTAGCATCCGACGTATCGAATTAACCTTCAAAAACCATGTTTACGAAGCCGTGCAGTAGTACACGGGAAAAGGTTGAGCATTATAATAGCTCTGAAAGACTGAGTGGTATTTCGCCTGGAATACATGTGCGATCAGTGTTTGAAAAGATTGATAAAGAAATTCACATCTAAAAGGAACATTTAGGATAGTTAGGTGGAAATAGATGTTATGCCGAAGTGAATACCACAAGCTCTGACTCGACTTTAGTAAGTATATGTATTTCTTTGCTGCTATTCAGTAAAAGTAACCATAAAACCTCCCAGTTAATGGAGTTAAACCCCCTCTTTAAGTGAGGGAACACGACTATAGTTAAACCCATATAAGAATTTCTGTATTTTGAGACCCATCAACAGGCTAAGACTTGATTATCACCTTTACCGACAAGTGGGAGGCTCTTTAACTGCTCTGGATTTACAGTTCTCGAACACCAGTCAGGCATGAAGCGATCACGAAACTGCATCAGCTAAATAGTTTACAAGTATGATAAGTTAGACCGAGACCAGAAAAAGTAGGACACCTTTTTGACACAATCATCCAACCAAGTTTTGCCAATGTCTAAAAAACAGCACATAAGAATTAAGCCAGACTTTAGGGCCGAAGTCGGTTGTAAATTAATGCGAAGAATTAGGATTTTAATTTGATAGTTAAGAATCATGATTACAGTTTTCCACACAAAATGACACCTCAGTATTGCGTGGTTGAGATACCTTAGTCGTCAATGTATCTGAAATTTGTTTTAACGACAACTACTGACAGCAGCCAACTCTAAGTCAAAACTAAACTTGATTGAGAAGCACAAGATACTCCCAGATGTGTAGTGCTAGTGATAGCAAAAGAAAACACAATTTCGATAAATCCTGTTTCGAAGTATGCATCTATTCTGTTTTCCCACAAATTTGATAAGACACAACTATGCCTTGAAATAAGGAATCTCATATCAAATAAGTTTTGCTTAATAATATAACCGGAGCTACTTAGATCGATTTAAAGCTTCTACCACTTGAAAACTGAAGACAAGTTCCCAACAATTTACTTGCAGAAGCCTAAATATCAACCTGTACAGATGTGTCAGTGCTCAAACGTATTCAATAACGAGTAAGTGATATTAGGCAAATTTTATTTTAAATTGTCAGCATAACGATAAGCTACTCAAGTATATCTGTAATCATAATACAGAATAAACATCATCCTTAAAATACCCAACTAGACTGCGATCCGTTAGTCTAAATCTGGTTATGTCGTTTTAAGGAACAAATCACATCTACCTTAAACTTAAAGATAGAAGATCAAGTGACTAGCTTATAAAAAACATGAGGTTGCCGTCGCCAAAAGTTGAACCGCTCTTGTACTGTATTCTAAGAAGCTTTTTACAAATAAATGTAGCAAAATATTGTATTGTTCGGAATTTGTGATATACGAGATCAAATAGACTTACCAATGTCATCATCTTGTCTGGTAGCAGTCACAAGTAAAAATACTGTAACAGCCACAGTACTCAGGTGCAACATAACCAAAGTATGTTGTTCTGCTTCGTGAGCAGAAATTTACAAAATATAAAACCCAGATAGGCGATGGACTCCATAGGCCTTTTCAAATAGTAACGTAGCGCTCACTTCGGACATTGCGCGTAGTGATGTACAACGTACCCTATGTACAGGAACAACTGTCTGAAAACGATATAAGTATAATCTGAAGTAGATAGGATTCATAGAATAATTTTCACTTATAATATCGACCTGAGATGTAGGACAGAGTTATTGGTTATAGGAAGGTACGATAGCTACCATATTCTACCTGAATGTAAAGAGAGAAAACATTAGTGGTAGAAGTAATTGGCGAGTAAAACTCAGATTAACTCCCTTATATACTTCTAATATCACAAGTTAGTTGATTACAGCGGATAGCTAGACAAATATACTTTATTCTAGTAAGAAGCCAGATGTGTCAATTATGATTGTCTTATCACTAAGCTCAAGCAATTAAGTATTCACTTGATCATATCTACCAAATCATCTAATTTGGGCGGCAGTAATCCGTACTTCTCAAGATACATAAAGCGCATTATGTTCTCCGCATTCTGAAGTGGTCTAAACAACTTGATGATAATTGGTAAACACTTCAACGTCCTCTGATCAGTCTCTTAATGTATTAACGACCCACATTAGGAAATTGCTTGGTTGGGTCTCAGCAATATTTCACTAATCATAGGACTTCTTCATTTTGGCTTGTTTTTCATAATACCTGGTCCCGTACATGAAGTATCGATTGTTAGTTCCTTGATTCAGCACGAAACCACTTGAAACTATACGAATCACTGACTCTACTGCTATTATTTATTCTCAAGTATATACAAATACATCATATGATTCCCCATCCATCAGAAAAAAGAGATATACTGGCCTGGGATTTGACTTCATATGGTCGAATGATACTGAGGTCGATGAAATACATATCCTACTTCGTATATATTCCTTAAACATGTTACGACAATAACAACATGGAAATAAAGGGTAAAAAAGTGAAGTATTTCAGAAAATCATGTTTCAAACATTCAGCGGTTCGGAGAAACCCTAGGTGACAACACATATGCATGTGAAACTGAGTAGCATAGGTAGCCATCTCCGTGAATAATGAGCTACTCAGTCGTCATAAGCATGAAAGAGGTACAAGCTAGCGTACAGATATATACGCACTAGCATACAGACATGTGTAGGGGATGATCAAGATTAGACATGGCTAATCGGAAAGAACAAACATCGGTTATGGGATAACTGGAAAGGTTAGAACAAAGGCTAAGACAAGTCACGTAGACTTTATTCACTACAGGACCTATTAAATACGTAATAGCATCCCTGATCAGGGCAGAAAATCGCGACAATTCGTTTCTTCAGTAGAAGACTGTTTTTAACACATCGAGTTAAACCGAAGAATTTTACAGAACTCTACGGTTATTTGTGAAGGTGTTTGAAAATAAGAACTAAAGAAGTTAGTGTAAAACACAGTTTTATAATAGATAAATTTGTCATAGCTCTGATTAAGTTCGTCGGTAGTACAGACATTCAAAAATACAATGTTAATGAACGAAATTTGATGGGAGCTGAACATGAATCGAAGTAACGTGTCCAGGGAGCCGACTGGTATCTTCTGGCCGCTAGTCAGTCGGGAGGATCTTGGGAGCGTATAGTTCGCTTTGCTTGCAAGGCATTAAATGCTCTTGTTTATTAACCAAATCAATCAAATATAAGCTGGAGTACAGAACAGAATAAACAATTTTTGATTTCGGAAGAGTGACAAGAAAATGAAAAGTATATGAATACATAAATGAAATTTTCACCATTACTTTTTATCGTGCATCATTCTTCTTTATCAAGTCTCAAACGTTTATTCATGGAGTAAGTGTCTGAATTCGCATTTAGTTTGTTGTCTTCGTAGAATATTGAACTTGACGTGAGATTAGAAACAGAAGTGTGAGAACAGCAACAATAAGAAAATGGCCTCAGTAGTATTGAGTAGTTGCCTCGACTACAATTATGAAGCCTGAAACAAACCTACAAATTACCACAGGAATGAAATACTATGTAAATCCTCACAAACATACTTCTATTATGATAAACAATTAACAGACTAAAACCATTACGCGTAACACATCAGATTATAGATCTCATTAATGACTGATTATTACGGTTTCCTATCAAAAGCTGAAGACATTTCCTACATAAAAAGGGATATTTTCCTAGTCAGTCTCCTAAACCGTCGAACTGCATGGTTATGGTCACGTCAGGTAGAAATATTTACCAAGATATCACTTAAGTCAATATGTGTAAGAACGGAGAAATAGAAGGTCAAGTGGCATTTGATTAAACTTATGTGTTAGATTGTAAACGAATTTTCGATTCAAATCAAATAATTCTAATATTCTGGAGCACAACATGCACATAATTAACACTCACTTCCGTTAATAATTGGGAAAGGACAATTTGATTTAATATAATGCTTGAATGCCTATTTTCGTCCTTTCATAATAATAGTGGTCATCAAAGGCGGTCTACAGTGTTCAGAAAAAAACAAAGTTGCCACCGAAAATCTCAGTCAACTTCCTATACCCCTATAATGTTTTGAATTATTTGAATTATAGCACGAACTAAGAGTCCCAGAAATAACGCAATTGAATTAAGAAGTGAGACACAAGCACTAATGGATGTATTGTATTTGGAATCCGAAATCGCGCATTCAACAAGTACCAAGGTATCATTACTTCATTTAAACACCACATCCGACACAGTTTAAATAGGAGTAAATGTGTTTGTAATCGGTTTTACATCTTCTTCTTAAGTTCATCCTGAGTCTGTCCGACATTGTATTGGATAGAAACTTTGTACTATCTTGAATGTGCTCATTAGTATTGGAATTAACAAACGTCAGGAAGTTTCCTCGAATTCATTAAGAATGTCATTGAAGATTAAAGGATCATTAGAAAAATCAGCATCTATTAAAAATAAATCAGGTTTTCGATCATAATTATGTTCACTCAACATATTTTCCTCAGATTTGTAAGAAATGTCATCAGAAATATATGGATCATTAGGAAAAGCCATATTTGGTACGATAACATGAGAAATCTGATAAATCGATTGGTTAGAAACTGTTGTTTCGCAAGAATTCTGGATTTCATTTAACTCTGAACTACTTTGTGACTCTACATTGTCTATTGCAATCGTTGATAAAAATAAATCATCATTATAAATACTCGACTCAGTAGAATCAGAATTACAAGTCTTAATATTGATTGCAATAAGATGAACATTAGTATTACAGACTGACTGAATATGTCCAATATCAGCACATTTAAAGCACTTAGAATTACGAAATTTACATGAATTAAAAGAGTGGAACTTGCCACAGGACAAACACTGACTTAGCTTGTGCCTATCTTCGTGAAATGCATTGCAACTCCTCAATGAATTGTCTGCATAATCTTGAGTATGAACTGGGTTGGGATGACGTAATGTAGTGGAATTTTTTATATCCTCATAAATCATTTTACGAAATCTTCCTCCTTTACCCCATTCGAAATTTGTATACTGAACATAGTCTAGCAGCAGTTCCTTGAGAGCTGTATAAGGAAGCGAAATGAGCTTTACCGGCATAGCCAGAGTTCTTAATAAGCTGTATGCTTCCTTTCCAATGAATGTGAGGAAGTGTGCCACAATATAAACATCCTCATCATCTTCCTTGGTCATAGCCCAGATTTCGAACCTTTCAAAGGAATATTCAAAAGCTTACGAAGTTGAATGAATATCAAACTTTTCCATTACAGGCTCCATCGCGACGCCAGTATAATGTTTTGAATTATTTGAATTATAGCACGAACTAAGAGTCCCAGAAATAACGCAATTGAATTAGGAAGTGAGACACAAGCACTAATGGATGTATTGTATTTGGAATTCGAAATCGCGCATTCAACAAGTACCAAGGTATCATTACTTCATTCAAACACCACAACCCCCCAAATTGTTTTTTGTCTGTCACGAACGTCAAGCGTCAGCTTTTGAGCTCCAACCAAAGCCAACGTATGTGGGTGACCTCAGGTAGCTCGATATGATGAAACAGTAGCCAGTAGTTTTAATTTTCCACCTTTGACAAAGCCTTTATGACAAATATATGCTTCGACATAGCATACCAGCTCGAAAGATTCAGTTAAGCGAAAAATCTGAATACATGGTAGTGTCAAGGCCTGTATTATACAATTTCTTGTTATCCTTAATTTACTGAGATTCCTTATGCCACTAAACTGCCAATCCCATATGTTGATCGTGATCTCACCCTGAAATTTTTATACAACAGTTTATGCTAACAAAGTTGTTGGTTTATATAAAAATTGAGCCGAAAAGAAACGTATCTCAAGACAAAGTTGTTCTCTAGTTTGAATTCTCGTAAGCCCACCCACTTTAAAATAAAGTCAGTCGATTCGGACGCTGCTATCACAAACGTTCTTTCCTTTAATCCAGAATATGAACAGGCACAAACGTTTCTTTTACTATCCAGTTCTATTTTGGACCGCCTCCTTACTTGTTGTCACTCAGTCGTTTAATAGTTAGCCTCTGCTCCAGCCATTAGTCACAGCATGCTGCCAAATGGACTTTATGTCTGCTGAGATCAAAATTACTATAATCTAAGCGAAATTTCTATTCTTATGGATGTGCACAGGTCATAAGGAGGGAAGGTCGTGTTGAGAACCGACTAAATGCGATGGTCATACTGGTCTATATATACACACCCCAATGCAGTTATTGTTTGCCATATGTGTGAATCTACAATGACGCATGAAATTTCCCGAACATTTTGGAGTGTTCTTACTTCCTAGGATAGCAATGTTAGCAGGCGTTTGACACGATCATCAGTCTTTAGTCCTCAGAAGTAATGATGTCAGTCTAATTAACCAATATTTATTTTTGCAATTTGTAGTGCAGCGAAAACTCAATTTTGCGTTATATGCCATCTGGACGTGTTGATATTACGTGTCGCTGTGTGGAGAATTCTAGTAAATCACTAGCTGTGCGAGAAAGGGTACTCCAGATGTAAACGTTTTGATCTCAGCTTTTGAAATTTCTTAGAATCTACTCCTAGATAAT